AAAAAGTAACCACTATAATCTTAATGCTAGATTTTATAGATTCTACGCTTCACTCTTTTTACACTAAATGACTTGGCACAGTCTTAATTCAATTTAATTTCATATATGTAGGTTTTAAACTATATTTAATATATTATTTATAGTAATTGTTCTTAATTAATTTAGATGAGTTTTTTATACATTTAAAGGAACTTATTTTGAACTCCTTATCCAAATGATCTTTGGACATTAGCTTTATTAACGAATCGATGTGTCTGGCTTACTTTCAAAAGCTTTTATCTTTTAAATCATAAGAAGCAGCTGTTTAAATAATTAGAGCCCCATACTAGAAACGTATTTTTAACCTGAACTTTTTGTTGATAAAATATTTACTCCATACGGGATTCGAACACTCTCAATACTCAAGCATAATATATACTGCATGACAAACCCAACTGAGTTCTGAGCAGTCTCAATGAAAGAATATTTATTATTAAAGCACAGAAAAAAGCTTTCTAACATCAAACATCAATATTACAGAATACAAAGTCGAAGTAAAGATTGAAAAATGCTTCAAAGGTAAATCCGACTGTACGAACGCTATCTATATCGCAACTCGACACTTGGTAATGGCTCTTGATGCCGATACCAACTGACATCTAATACCGTTTGAAAATACTATGTCGATCAAAATAAAATTAAATAAGAGCTTTACACTAGGCTAAGATTACAAAGAGGTAAAGTTTGTAAGTTTGTACGTAGGTTTGTATCTCTGAAACTACTAATTTGATTCTGTTTTTTTTTAACTAATAACAAACTACATTACCGCATTATAGGTTACTTTTAATCCGATATATTTTTTATTCCAATATTATTTCTACCCGATAGTGGTGAAGCTTAAAGGAGGGTTATGTATTTGACCTGTATGTATGTATGTAGGTGAGAACGACGAAACAGGTTTTTAAGAGGCCATTACAAAAATATATACAACTTAAATTTTTATAAATAATTTAGGATAAAATACTGTTAAATAAAATTAAAAATGTCTAACTGACCAAAACTAAAAAGCTGCGAATAACAATATAATGTATCCGACTGCATAATACTATGTTTCTTAACTTGTTCTCATCTTTTGATTCGCTTTTTACGTAGTCGAGTTTTTTTGTTTTGGACTGGGAAGCTAGGGACGAACCCGAGCGAAGCGAGGGTGAGTCACTTAACTAACGCAAGACTACAACATTAAAATTTCTTTGAACTGCCACAAAATTTATCAGTCTATGGTTTATCTACAACTTTTGAACAATTTAACTGTTTTCAATTAAATTAAATGCTCTTCAATTCAACTGGCTTAGCTTCCAAGTATTACGATATTTACCTCGAGGAAATATTATACTTCAATAACTTTACTCGCCACCATCTCATTCACCCCCCGCAAAAACAGTAAACATCTAAATAAGCACTATTATGGCTTAATCTATACATATAGTTAAAATGTAACGGATTGCTGTCTGTATATGGAAGATATATGAAAAAAAAATATTATTGGGGCCTTTAACAACGCAAATAGCACCCAAAACAATGATTGTTAGAATTTTTGTCTGTTTATCTGTTTGTCTATTTGTCTATGCGTTTGTGCACGCTAATCTCAAAAACGGCTTATCCGATTTAGATGTAGTTTTCACTAATATATTGTGGTAAGCTTCACTTAACATTTAGTGTTTGTTTCATGTCAATCGTTTCATAAAAGTTTCATAAAAGTTATGACAATTTAAAGAATCACGTCGAACATTTGTTAAACTATCTATATCTATCTATTCATGTCACGCCAGAACGGCTAAACGGATCTGGATGAAATCTGGCACAGAGATACCTCAGGAGATATATTATAGTCTGTAATAACATATAAGCTACTTTTTATCCTGGAAAAATGTAAGGTTCCCGTGGGATAGGTATGTTTTTGTTTCCCTACCCCTACCCTAACCCTAACCATATATAGTTTTCAAAAGACATGCGAAGTCCGCCAACTCACACTTGGCCAGCGTCGTGGATTATGGCCTGATCCCCTTGTAATAAAGGGAGGCCTGTCCCAGTAATGAGACTTAAAAAAAACTGAATACGAATAATAAAGCTGTCAACAGCTACCAAACAAAAAAAGAAAATCGGTTGGCTTTGCCTATTTATAATACTTTCTTAGATTTACGCGAATATTTGACATTTTAAATAAAACTATCTTTTCGGATTTTTTTCGCGGAATTATTTTGATTTTTGGTCTATGTCTAAACCTTTGTGACATCTAACACCTTATCTCTCCTGTGACCATGATTGCTGTAAAACATTCGAAACGTCGGGAACCAAAAATAAAATAAATCTGCGAAAAAATCCGAAAAGATAGTTTTATTTAAAATTTGCCTATTTATATTATATATAGTATATTTGGAAACAAACTTAGTTGGCTACTGTATTATCCTATCAACCTGACCGTTGCCGCGAAAATAAATTCTCACATTTATGATATTAGGTTAAATGAAAATAAAACATCAATGATTTTATTTCTTTCAACATAAACTATTTTTAAAATAGATTTCTTTAAACGTATACAAACAAAAGAATTACGAAACATCCTTCGCGACTGCGATTTTATTGATTCATGTCACATTTATAGACACTAAATGTGGGTCAGATTAAAATTGCAAAATAAAATATATTGTCAATAAAAAAAGTAAAGACATATATAACTGAGTAATTGTAGTATACTAGGTCATTTTCTGCATACCATTTTAGTTACTGACTTGTTGGGCTAGTGTCTAACATGTATCCCCCCCCCAACGTGCGTTCACCTTGTCGTGGTGGGGGGGCTCAGTAGTGCCCGGCAATTCAGCCGGGCGCGAAGCCAAGTAACGCACAGGGAGGTGGCCTGCTTCGGTGGGCGGTGTACCATGCGGGTTGCTCCTGGTACTTCTCTGATAGCAGAGTGGACTTTGGAGCAACCCCATGGTCGTTGTGGTCTGCCTCAGCAGACCTGCCGTCGGGGCGTCGTAGTTGAATGCGTAAGCGATCCTGCGACGCCCCATTAAGACGGGGGAAGGCTTTGTTGGGTTTTAGTGGGTAGTACTGGCTTTGCCGGTGAGTCCCACACCTCGTGCGTAAATGCATTTCCCAACGTTAAAAAAAAAAGTGTCTAACATGTATAGCTGCGAATCCAGAACTTTGACGAAACATTTGGCTCAGTTTGTAGCGACCCTACATGCTGTGCCAGTGATCGCGGGTTTGAGCCCGCTGGGGGCATTCATTTATGTGATGAGCACGAATGTTTGTACTCTAGTCATGGGTGTTTGTCCTTAATACAGGCCTCGTAGCTTACCATGGATACTAGATGGTGCTGTGTTAATGTCACAAAAAAAAAGAAGTCCTGGTTTTGAGTCCTGCGTCGGGCCAGATATCGATTTTTATTGTCAAATCCTAAGTAACAGCCCAGAGTTGGGAAGGCAATGAAACACTAAGGCTGTCGGTACTTCGCCTGACCTCTCACCAGTCGCGTCGATTTGTCGTCTCATCGCAGTTTGAGAGTGAAAGTATTAGAGTCTACATACTTGTGCACTTTAATGTCTTTTGTATGCAGTCGCCAGACTTAGTGAGATTGCCAAAAAACCTCCATATATCTGAGAGAACCTAGCGAGTTCTTGAAAGACATGAATAGTGTTCTAGCACGCACTTGGCCAGCGTGGTGGACTATGGCCAGATCCCCTCGTGCTAAGAAGTCGCTGAGCTAAGAAGGGTTGAATACTTTTTTTCGTAATTCAACTTGCATTTTGTAGATCCTCATGAATATTGTGAACCGATTGAGAGTGATACATTTCTTTTTGTAATATACAAAATATAAAAAAATAGCCTCCATTCCTTTTTTTTTTGTCTGTCGGATACCATCATCATAAATAGTAATAGTGCGGGTTGTCTTAATTCTTTATAAGTAATACAACCCGCACCCATTATAACCTGTTCTTAAAAAAGAGTTATGTCAATCAATTCACAATGTGTGGTAATGTTGCTTAACAAACACAAAAATAATACAAACACACACAACACAACATTAATGGTCAAATAGCAAAAATTTAAGTGCTGTTGCGATAACAAAGTGACTGACATTTTGATTTGGTTATTTTCCCAAACGGGCTTATACACGTAATCCAATTGGAGATCTCAGTTGAAGTATCCAATCCTACCTACCGACGGAAAACGAGAATTTAACAGGCAGCAATAGTTTCGATTTGCTGTAAATATTGATGCAGAATAGTAACTAGATATCTAACTCTTAAATTTAGTTATTTCTACTGTAGGTAATCCCAACTTTTGCCCGTGGATTTATCTGGGCGTATTTTATAAAGTAGACACTTACTCGTACTTCAAATTATAAATCAAAATGAATTCAATTCATTGACAAAAATTTATTAATATATTTAGTTACTTTTTATTATCACGCAAGTCTTTTTTATCACACTATATGTCTCATGTATATAAAAGACTATTGTTTATAAAGAACAGAAATTATAAAAATAGATCGGAAGTAAATGTCACAACCCTAAAAAAGAATTGGCAACTTTCGCCAACTTTTCAGCAAGAAATTTGTTATTTTTAACTTTAATTACATATACATTTAATGACATATACATTTTTAAGAGCAATCCTGAAAGCCATAACGATATTACTAAGTTCTGTTGCCTTCCATGTAATCATTTATTGAGCAACTACATTGGAATACTGCGTGATACTTTTGTCTAATTACGCCCAAGACAGCCTCATATAAGAATTGATCTAGAGTCTCGAGATATTCGTTTTAATAGAAACTGCTAGTCAAACACATGTCATGCTACAGAATATATTTCAATTCAATACTCATATACTTATATCATTTAGATAGGCTTCATCTAAAATATTGTAAAGACTTGTAAATTAAAAAAACAGGTGTAAATCAAAATTTCTTCAACAGTCAACTTCGATTTTTATTTACAATGTTTTCTTGTACTATGGAAGAAAGAATTCCTCTAATAAGAATACAGGTATGTTTTAGGCATTATATAATTTTAAACAAGTTTCAACTTTTTTATTTATTTATAGTGGATCTACTTTTGATTTCACTAAAGCTAAAAGAAATGGCTTATGTATATCTTTCATAATAATTTATGTGTATGATCTAGTAAATATGTTCCTTATTTTATAAGACAACGATAAAATGAATCTGAGCTATTCCTTTAAATCAGACTATTGCATATATAAACTTTCATTTAAATCCGTACAAAGTTAGTTACAGCAAACTGATACACACCCAAATTGATGGAGAGATTTTTTAAACGTTTTTCTATTACATCTAAAACATTAACTAAAAATAATTTTAGCGTTTACAAAAAAATATTCAACATCTGATTCCATTACAATGTTATTATTATTACCTCTACTGATATATCCATCTAAAAGTCTCCCAATATTATAAGAGTTCCAAGAAGTATCACATATATATCATATCAAAAAATACGATAGACCAATTAGAGTACCAAATATATTGTTCCAGGCTGAAGAAGGCACAACTCGGACACCAGATGGTGAAGACAATGATGGTAGCGAAATCAATGCGGGGTCCTCAAGAGCTCTTTCGGCAGCGACATCTAGAGAAGACGATGATGATTCAAGCAACAATGCCAGCAACGAAAGCAAAAGTCCCGGTCAAAGGTAATTATCATATTTTAATAAATTTAGTTAAAGTATAGCACCTTGTTTTTTATGATAAGATCCACCATATTTATTATATATTTTTTTTTGTTTAAAGTATGTTAACATAATATATTTTAATATTAGAACTAAATATTGAAAGACGTATACATCAAGCAAATGTACGACTTGCAGCAAATGTATAGAATCACCTACATTGTACAGCAATATATTAGTTAAAGTAATATTTAAAGGTATTGTTTTGAGAATGGATCATTCAGTTAGTATATAATAAAATTGTAAAAATGTATTTCATTAGGATCAACACACATTTCGGATCGCATATGAATGAGCTACCCTCATCTGCCTATATGTACTCGACATATTAAAAACTTTCAAAGTTAGCTATTTTCTGCTCATAAAAATATTATGGGCTGATTATTATAAGTTAGCATAAAAAATAAGGAGAATAAATTATTTTTTTTATTTTATTTTTTTATTTAGAAAAAATAACTTTAACTGTTTGAAGAATTATTGTTAAGTTACATTTGTTTTTTAGCATTGCAAAAAGGGTAGTTACGCCACTGTCCGTATGGTATCACAAATATCTTGATGATAATCTCAGGGCCGATTTAAGTTATTATTTTTATTTAAAAGTCCTTACCAGACAAATAGTGTCATATAAATAATATGGAAATATTATTTTAAGATGGTAAGGTTTCAAACTCCATAAATAATAGACGTAAATCAAGTATGACCTAAAGTATTTGGCATTGGCTGTTGTTAACTTGGAAAATAACTGAAAGATTATATTTGCTTTTACAAAGTAGAAATATTGCTGAGTGAAAACTAGTTCATATTAAACGGCTGATCTTCCAAATCTAAGTGTCTAACCATAGTATATTATTTAATCATATAAAGTAACTAGCGACTCACACTCTCTCCGTTCCGGGTCGTCCCTAGTTACATTTTAACGTTTAGCTCAGAGATAATATATTTTCCCGCAATAAAAAGTATCCTATTTGTTGACCCAGATAACCAGTTATAATCATACCAAATTTCGTCAAAATCTGTCCAGTGGTTTTTTCGTGATGCGGTCATAGATAAACAGACAGACAAAAATTCTAAAAACTATAGATTCAGCATCTGGATTGATTTTCCAAATGATATGATGATGATGGATGGATTTTCCAACAAATATTTAATGTACAGAGTCGGCTTAGGTAGAATTTTATTATATGTATAGAAGAATGTTTTCAGAAAATCTAAAGTCACATCACCTCATCCTTAAACAACATTCTATCTGAACATTCTACAAAGAAAATCTTAAAGCCACGTTATAAATGGCTACCACTTAAAAACTCGCGAGCAACGAGCGCTTGGATTTGTCTAGCTCAAGCGTCTCATGACAAAATGCTGTCTTTGTTGATCTCTAAGGCTAGCTTCTGTAGACTTAATAACGTTAAATTATTTCAACTTTATTTGGATGTATATTTAGTGTATAAGATTCAATTTTAATAAGAGGTTAGTTTAGAATAAAAAATATATTTGTATACAAAAATTTAGGACCAATGCTACTTGCACTATTGAAAACCTGACGCCACAATTCTTTGCTGAATTGATGCGCCTCCGATCTTACGGTCTCAAAATCTGACAAAACGCCAATAGCCTTCATGTAGGCTACTACACCTGCGTCTTTTGAGATTTTCAGCTCGCATGGCTGCCGCTCCCGCAGTGACACTGAATAAGCGAATCGTATAATATTTATATTGTTTCTGAAATGTACTCTTACTATAAATAAAATTATTATCTATATACATATAATAAAATTGTAACCAAGCCGATTCCGTACATTAAATATTTTTTTTGTAAATCTTATTGAAATTGACATTATTATCGATACAGAGACCGTATCTATAGTTTTTAGATTTTTTATGTCTTTCTGTCTGTCTGTCTATGACCGCATTACTTAAAACCCACTGGAGGGATTTTGATGGAATTTGGTATAATGATAGCTGCGTATCCGGGTATATATAGGAGATAATTTTTACAGCTAGAAAATGATTTGAGAAATCTATACGAACCGATAAAATGCTGCCAGGGACGAACCCGAGCGGAGCGAAGGTGATTCGCCAGTATACTTACATAGATTAATTATATTTTCATAAATGATTACACTTATAAAGACTTCGAAAGATTAACTGAACTTCTCTAAGGTTTCAGGTTTCATTAATTAACAGACGACGACGGTCTAGTTCACAATGGAGATTTATCTTAGTATCCTTTACCGCAATGCTTTGGCATAATAATTACGTTTAAATGAGTTGTATTCAGTTTTAATACGATTTACTCCTACCATTGCTAGCTTATGGTATTTAACCTTATATTCCGTTTACTATGGAAAAATAACATAGTGATCGTGTATGTACTTTATCACTTAGTAGAGGATTCGAATTTAGAATTTACCTCTCTCTCTCTTTCTTTCTGTGTAAAAATGTGTAAACAAAAGGTTTATATCACATATAAAACCTATTACAAATAAAAAAAGGTACTGTGTTTGCCGTTCATGTATTTTTTTTTATAAGATGCTCATCGTATCATATCTTAAAAGTACCTTAATCGAGTTTAAGTATTCAAAACAAAGCAAATCTTGATATAGAATTTACAAACACATGCCGAAATTTTATATTATATATTATGTATTATCTAATAGACAGTGATCTCAGTGTAGGTTTTTCCAATACTAAAACTCTGTGGTATTATCGTGGTAATAATATTAATGTTATATAGTAAACTTGCAATCTGCCCGCCCTCAGGCCTTGACGACTTAAATTAGAGATATAAGGAACAGTGACAGGATATAAAATTCATTAAAATTGATATAACTCAAAATTTAATAGGTTAAGTTTGTCATAGTGTTCGTTAAGTAGAAACTTAAAAGTCATTTAGAACTGACGAAAGACCAAGAAGAAAAAAAAAGAGCTTTTAAAATCAAACTCATAAGGGATTTTTATGTTTATAGGTAAGGGTAAGTCGCTCCCCTATAAATATACCTATAATTTATGAACTTACAAACTTATTTTTCTTACTAGCACTTTGGGCATTAGTCTCTTCCGTGACCATTATTGCTGTAAAGCATTCGAAACGTCGGGAACAACATCAAAATAAATCCGCAAAAAAATCCTAAAAGATACTTTCACTTAAAATGTCAAATATTCGCGTAAATCTAAGAAAGTATTATTTCTCAAAACGTATAAATACTTCAAATTTGAAATCCTGCAAGTTGTATACAAAATAGTATGAACGCAGACAGAGCCGCGAGCGAATACTAATACAAATAATGAAAAAATACCTCTAAAAAGTATTACTATTTGTGGTAGACAGAGGATGTCCCTACATTTATTTAATGCCGAAAACAAAGCTAAAAAGAAACACAGAGGCTATTCAATTCCAAGAATTGGATAGGTAGTTCCTTCTTACCCTTTCTGAAATAAAGTTGTGTACGTAAAGTTAGGCAATATCTTATTATCGAGTTCTCTTTTGGATTTGTGTTATCGGTAACATACTAAATCGATTTTATTTAATTAAAATTATTTGAGATTCATTCTAATACTAGCAACTAACCGCATCGTCCGGAAGCTTCCTTAGATGTCTAACAGTAGCCTAAGTAGTATTTCTATAGTCTATCTATTTTCTAAATTTTATCCAAATCTGTTCATCCATTTCAGGGCGAAGTAATAAACATACAAACACACGAATTTTCATATTTATAATAGTAGTCGGTTTTTCACCCAAATGCGCTGATAAGCAGCTGTAAATTTAATCCAATTGCTTATATTTCGTTAGTCAAAGGTTTTCGAGGAAATCATATCATCATCATGCTTACTTTATTTTTATAGATACTTTACTTTATAGACAATAAGTATAATATAATTTTAATTTCGTACATATTTATGGTACAGTACGTACCTTTCAGAGTTTACTTTGTTTTAACATAAACACTAAAAAATATATATTGGTCGATCAATATTCAAGTACAAATATTATTACCAGTTTATTACTGTTGTTCCCTTTTTAAATACAATAAAAAAATCTAATAACTCGACCACAACACTATCTTAGTCTTAATTTTTTTTATTTTCTTTCTCGACACTAAACCAATTATTTCCTAAAGACACTTTGACATACGTATATATTTTATAATACATACCTATATTATATATATTATTATGATATAGTTTCATCGAATCTGATAGATGATAAGAAACGCATTCAAATACTGATTATTCATTTATTTTAAAAACTTACAACCCACCATCGCTTAGCTTCAGCTTGAAAAATTTATAAAAAAACATTATTTTTTTACTTTCTATGCATGAATTATATATAGAAATCTTTGTGAGGAAATTGTCTAACTGATAGTAAAAATGTATCAAAATTCATCGCGTAGTTTACAAGAATCAAGCAAACATACAAACACACGCAAGTAGTGAGTTTATTTTTAGGGTTCCGTACCTCAAAAGGTATAAAGGAACCCTTATAAGATCACTCTCTTGTCCATCTGTCTGCCCGTGTGTCACCACCGATTTTCTCAGGAATGGGTAGACCTAGCAAGTTTAAAACTATACCAGATACTGAAGTCTATAGTCGCTATTAAGTGTATAAAAATCGAGGTCCTGAGTCAACACGATAAAAAGATATAGGCTAGATTTTCGCGAAAATTTGTAAGTACTTAATTTTGAACTTTTTTTTTATTTTTCGGAATTTTCCCTTTACTTGTGCTGTAAAACGTTGCTTTTGACCAAAATTGACAATTCCAGGTCAACCGGAAGTACCCTACAGGTTTTGGGTCGAAAACCTATATGTTAGTTCCCGTTGACCTAGAATCACGGAATTTGGCAAAAAGCAAAGTCTTACAGCACAAACAAAGGAAAAAATCCGAAAAATAAAAAAGTTGCTAATTAAAGATAAGCAAATTTCCTAAAATTTGTACGGAACCCTCGGTAGGCGAGTCCGAGTCGCACTTGTCCGTAATTTTTATCTATGAAGACATGTTCATATAAATAGGTATTGTAAATGGATGTGTTCCTTATTAAGTAAACAAATCAGTTGAAATGACCAAAACGTAGTGTATATATTTGTCTGTCGAACAAAATAAAAGTAACAAATGATTAGGACCACGTACATTGTCTTTGACCTACATACTTCAGTTGAGCAGAAAAAATACATTTGTTGGGTTTCTCTACTTATGCTCGACTTATTTATCGGCTTTACTGCATAACACTATAAAACTGTTGTTTTATAATTTTTTACACTTTAGAATAATTGGGGCGGTGAATATTGTATTATTAATATTGTGTATTGATTGAATTTAACTTCTACAAAATTGAGTGAATGAATTTTGTAGAAGTTATATTTGATAATTTGAACAGATAAAGTCTAGCGTTAGAATTGTTGCTTAATAATGATTACAGAGAATTAATATACTTTTGTGCTAAAAAATAAGTGAATATTTTCTTTTTGTTTAATTCAAGTATTAAATAACTTCATCCTAACCGATTTCGGCCACTGCGGCCAGTCTCACAGAGACATGCACAACTACACTCTTTATTCCTTTCACTCTCAATCTCCGGTGGGACGACAATTCAACCGGACCGGTAAGGAATAAGATGCAGTATCGAAGTCTTAACGTGCTCTGCAGCCGTAAATACCACAGAACACCGAAGACATTAATGGACAGAAAGACGCCGCCATAAATTAAATCAGCAGGAAATTATCTAAAGGTCCTGATTTTCAGAAATAAATATAGAAAATCGGACTGGCGAAAGCATAGACGCACAAAAACTAATTAATGTAGATTATAATAATTATTATTACATTTTAATGTATTTTGTACTATCGAAGGTAGGTACATTAAGTGTAGCAAAACCGTGAACTCTCAGGAAAATTCCAGATGAACGCCTCGGCTCTGATCGGCTTAGCTCCATAATGCATAGCGACGCAATGAATATTTCCATCGACTCTAAAAGTTGCTTATCTAATTGAATAATTCTTAGTGAATAAAATATAAAGTAAGTTAACAACTAGTAATAATGATGTTAATAGTGCCTTATTACATTAAATGAGCAATCTTTTTATATAAATTTATTTCATGTATCTCGGAAATGGCTCTAACGATTTGGATCAGTATTTGGATAAGGCTTTGATTTTTAGGGAACAAAAACACGATTTTACAAAACGACAAGCTCAGTCGCCCAGGTACATGATATTTATTGGCAACAAGATCGTGTTGGAATTATTGGTTTAGAGGTAGTTCTTGACACCAAATGCGCGTCTGTCTGTACGTCTGTCAAATTCCATTTGATTCAAATCAAATGGACGAAATAAATTGACACGATGACGAACGTGTAGTGTAATTAAATGAATTTTGATGTTAGCGATATCGATAGCGATATCGAGTCACTGTCAGGAATATTTTTTACAGTATTTTTTATAATTTTAAAATGCATAGATTAAACAAAAACTAAACAAAATAAGATTTCCTTCTACCTTGTCTCCGCGACTCTAAATTTAAAATTTCGAAAGGTAGAGATTGTTGAGTTTCACTCATAGTTCACTGATAGTTTTAGTTTAGTTTTAGTTTTTGATAGT